AAACCAAAATATGAGTATGATGCTAGAATGTTGTAAGAGTAGTGCGTGTTAACAATGTAATAAAATACTGATTGACAGTGTAATATGTCAGTGTGATCAGTCAACCGTCGACTATCCGCGGTGACACTCTAACGGTTAGTGGCGATGGATGGCGGTGTGACAATGATAGTGTAATAGTTATAATGTGGTGAATGTGTCAGTGTAATAATAACAACGTGAAATTCAGTTTCGGTCTTAAAAAACTTATGACTCATATTTTGGTATTTTCATAGTTTTTTACTCCTATCTAGAGAATTTTCGTCTAAACATTTGGGATAAAATAGATGTTTTATGAAATGCGCAAAAAATAAAACAAAAACATTTTTAGAGTGCTCCTTATGGATACTTAAAAAAAGCACTCCCTATAATCTTATACGGAGTACTTCATATAATAAACTAGACCTGAAAAAGAATTAACTCGATTTGTTTTTTATTTTAGACCCAACTTGAAAATATTAAGTTTTGAAGAAAGCTTTATAAGTTTATTAATTGAACCCGAAATGACCCCTAAAATTGGGTCAAACCTGCTCGCACTTGAACCCGATCTAAGTGACTCACTAACGTAAGAGTTTTTCAAAATAATGTACTTTAACACTTCCTTCGTTTCATAATTATCTTCCTTCTTTGCTACTTGGCTTGTCTCAAAATTTCCTTCCTCTTTCTTTTTGAGAAAACAAATGTATGGCTCATATCAATTCTTTTTCCTATATGCAAACCATAACCACCAACATTTCACTTTATTAAAAATTATGCCAAGTCAAACGTGAAAGATGTTTTTGGGACGGAAAAAGTAAGAAAATAATGTGCTAAAAATAAGGTTTTGTTTTGTGTTTATCTCTTATTACTCTTTTTTTTTCCATCATCTCCGATGGAGCCAAAATTTCACCATTTTTTGGCTTTGGGGTGTGATGGAATAAATCAAAATGGATCTCTAAACTGTTTGCGCTTCTTTAATTAATGAAGTAGCAATTAGTCAAGCAATGCAACTTTCGACGTTGAGCCGGGGGTCTCTTTGGAAACAGCCTCTCTACTTTCGAGTAGGGGCAAGGTCTGCGTACACACACCCTCCCCAGACCCTACTCTTGTGGGATTTAACTGGGTTGTTGTTGTTGTTGTCTTATTACTCATTTTTTGTGTAAAAGCTTATATTTTCGAATGAGTTTTAATTTTAATGATACTCCATGTCACATTGTTATTTTATAGTTTTTTTCAGAATTAGTACACATTTAAATTTTCTATTATTATATTGTTAAATATATCTAAAAAGTACTTCATCCGTCCCCCTAAGATCTTCTCGTTTTGACTTTTTTATTTGTCCTACATAGATCTTCTCATTTCCTTTTTTAACCTATAAAATATCACAACTACCCCCACTTACTTTATTTATTACACCTTTTCCACCTTATTTAATACACCCCACCCATTTTCATTAAGAGTATTTTGATAAACTTTCACCTTTTTTCAACTTTCCTTAAAAATCACCAAAAGTCAAAACGAGAAGATCTTAGGGGGACGGAGGGAGTAGTTAACAATTCAAAATAAAATACATAGAATTTTAATATTAAATTTGAATATTAAAAATAAGTTTATAATCCATTGGATCGACCCAAACTCGATCATTTTGGATCGTGAATATACAGTTCTTAATCTGAATTCAAATTTATAAGGATCGATATAACTCAAACTCGAAATTATCGTACGCGGATCCGAAACTGGCATGAGCAATTGTTTTGCCAGTTCTATGAAGGATCAATCGTGCAATATTAACGTGACTTAGAAGAATTGATGTTTTTTTAAAAACTAAAAGTATACATGCAATAAGCAAAATTAAAAAGGCATGCGCTTTTCCGGGGCTTTTCCTTCGGTGCCATTTGTAAACTGAGGGTTTTGGTGCCATCAATACATGAAGCAATTAGAGGATGACACGTGTACCCTATTCCACATAATTTAATACGGAGTATATTTTTGTTTATTACAATCAAGCCCGGGTCTAAAATTCAATTATTATTTCTTTAGATCTACCGTTTCTCCCATCTTCCGTTAACTTCTGTGCCGTCTCCCTCCAACATCCTCTCCATCTCCAGCGTTTTCTTTGCCGGAATCAAAAGCCGCCCGCTGCCGCCCTTCCTCTGTCGTCCCTAGGTCGGATCTTATCTCCAAAATTAGGAATGAATCTTCCAGGTTTTTTTCTTCTAATTTTCCATTAGCCCTAGATTGGTGTTTCTCTCTTTACGTTCTGGCTTTATTTTTCAGGTTTATTCTACTTATTTTTTTGGTTCGAAAATGCAATTCTTATGAGTCTACGAGTAATTGTGTTCCAGAGTGTAATTTTCTTGGTTTAAAAATGTCAATTTGTCATTTTGAGTTTGATTTGCAGCATGATTTAGTATAAAAAAGTATCTGTGATGTCATATGTTGTGCCGAAATATCTCTGTAATTTTTTTTGTTAAATATTACTACTTCCGTCCCATTGTCTTTGTCCACTTTTGACTTTTGGAACTGTTCATCTAAGCACTTTGACTCATCAAATTCACTTAATGTGTAAGCCTATGAATAGTCATGTGTGATCTTGTTTGATTCGTCTTAACATATAGATTATTAATATATAATTTGTATAATTTTTTAATATACAAATTACAAGATAAAATGGATTAAAGAAGTGCATTGGATGATGTGCCAAAAGGTAAGTGGACAAAGACAGTGGGACGGAGGGAGTACGTAGTACTCTTGATTTTGTCTTTTTTAATTTTTTTTTTGTTTTTTTGTGAGAAATACGAAATAATAATTGAATTTTCGACCTGGGATTGTAGTAAACAAAAATATACTCCGTATTAAATTATGTGGAATAAGGTACACATGTCATCCTTTCATTGCTCCATGTATTGAGGGCACCAAAACCCTAAGTTTACGAATGGCACCCAAGGAAAAGCTCAGTTCCCACTCTTTCCGGCTGGATCTCATCTTGGAGTCTTCATCCATGGCAGTTTTCCAGTATACGCCTAATTGTTTATGAATTCAAATTCTATCTAAAATCAAAACATAAATTCAGCTCACATAATGCAAACTATATTTGTTACAATTTAACTTGAGTGAGACTTTAATTTATTGAATTCTGACACCAAATGGAACCTGATTAGAACTCTTTCTTCTAATCACTATACATAGGAATATATCCTTTAATTTTCAATAAGACCAATTATTATCAAGTTGTATCATGGTACCGGAGTTAAAGTTCTCAAAAACCTAGACTTTTTTCTTCGACTAAGCACATCGCCTTGATGAGCGTGCCTAACCACTCTTGTTCATTGTCCCTCTCTTTCTCTCCAAAAAAATAAAGACCTCTCTATCTCTTCCAAAACAAATCGTGTGACCGAAGAACAAGAAAGTTACATTTGTCTGTGTTTTTTATAGAGATCGAGAACATGGAAAGTGATAGAGTGGCAGAGAACGGCCCAAAAGGAGAAAAAGAAACTCCTCGCCCTAACTCCAATCGCCAACACTCTCACCGAAAAAAACTCAACAGAACTTAATCTCAACTCGTTCGTCATGCAACAAAGATCAAACTCCCTACTTCTAAAGGCTATCATCACAAAACTACTTCCGCCGGGTCAGTTCAAGTACCTGTGCTCCAAGATGCTCCTTCTTATCGATGATCAGCTTGCATGAGGATAATAGGAAATAAATACGGAGTATTATATTTAATTACCATCCTTATTTTATTATTTCCTTATTTTATTGTCAACATATTTATTCTTCTACTATAATTAGAACTCTCTCTCTTATAATCTGTATATATAAGAATATATCCTTCAATATTCAATAAGACCAATTATTATCAAATTGTATCATATAATCTGTATATATAAGAATATATCCTGCTAAAAAATGCATATTTAAAAAAATGTAATCAAAAGATTTACAAAACAAGAAAAATGTTTTCTTTCTCATTTTCTTTTCATTTCCCTCTCAAATTCCTTGAACCAAACATAGTGTAAGTCTCTTGGCTTTTTTTTTGAGAATATCATTTTATATCGGCTTTACTTTGTCATACGAAAAATCAACACAAAATTATCCTCTTTATTTTACTAATTTAGTCAATATGTCTCTATCTTTATGGGACGGGGGAGTATATTCTTTGTAAAACTGCCAAGTAGTATTATTACCTTCACAAATCAAATGAAAAGACTCACACGACTCGTTTTAACTGTCGTTTAATTAGAAAAATTAGGCAATTCACTTTTTCCACTTCTCGAGAGACACGACACTCGAAAAAAGTTAAATACAAAACACTACTAAAACTCAACTATCATGTTTTCAAAACGCTAAAGTTAAATACAAACACTAATCTTAAGCGTAGTGGTCATTGATCAGCATAATTATGACCTTGTTCTCTTCGTCTGATCTAATTGGATATGATTTGGTTTTATTAAAGTCTAATGATTTGATTTAGTTTGGTCTAGTCTAATTTGGTCCGATTATTCCAATAAAAATAAGCCCTTGCTCGGTAATAAATAATCAAATAAATTAAGTTAAAAACTCAAATAGACAAATCTCATTATCGGTAACAAGCATGAGAGCAATTAAGTTTGGGATGGGGACTGTATATATTACTCCCCCCGTCTCACTGTCTTTGTCCACTTACCTTTTGACACACCATCCAATGCACTTCTTTAATCCATTTTATCTTGTAATTTGTATATTAAAAAATTATAGAAATTATATATTAATAATCTATATGTTAAGACAAATCAAACAAGATCACACATGACTATATTTAGGCTTACACATTGAGAGAATTTGATGAGTCAAAGTGCTTAAATGAACAGTTCCAAAAGTCAAAAGTGGACAAAGAGACTTGGACGGAGGTAGTATAATGTAAAATGAGTGAACGAGAGATAGGTAAAACATGAAACGTATTCAAGTTCTAATTAAGAAACAACTTTTAAAAAAAAAGAGAGAGAAGCAATCTAGAAACTCTATTCGATTCGACAACATTATTGTTATGATCTGGGAAAGAATCATAGAAAACCCAGAAAACATTATTTATTATCAAGTCTGATCTGACTTTATTTAATTAACATATATCGATGATCAGCAGAAGCACTCGCAACTACCGTGTGGGGAACTGCATTGGCCGCCCGCCGGAAAACCATCAAGGATGCAACCCCGATTGCATTGTTCTTTATCATCTCCCCTACCAGTGCATGCCCCCGGCACGCCAAGCGGCTTGCACGTCTTCCGCCCCTGCGCAGGTACTATATATATTGAGAAAGTTATTATGTTTTAGTCTTATTTAAGTAAATTCTTCGTAATGACATTAAATCTACATTACACACACAACACATATACATGTTATATATTTTAGAATCTGTAATTAAAACTTTATAAAGTTTGGGCAAGAAATATCAAAAGTAAAAATTATTTTAGGACGAGAAAAGTAAATGTTGTACATAACATTTTTTAATTATACAATATTATAATTTTAATGTAAAATAACTTCAAAAAAGAATCTTAAAAAACCATTATTTTGCTCCATTTGCCCCAACTCACAATTATTGTCTAGTTTACAATTTGATAGAATAAAATACATATGTCACTATTTGTTTTCCATTAATTTTGATAGAGTTTTAAAATATATAATTTTACTTTCTATTTCTATAAAAAAATTGTAAATTAGATCATTTTAAAAAGATAATTTTTAAAATTTTAGAACTTTTAAAATTTTATGTTATTGTACTTCCTTCATCCTAAAATGATCTTCTTAGTCAGTATTTATATGGTTAAACTTAAATCACTTTCTTTACATGTTTTCGTTAGCTACTTGATAAAATAATATAGTTATGTCGCCTCTTATTTTATAAACTTTTGATGTAATTTTAAAATATATAATTTTTATTTTTTTTTTAAATTTTACAATTATAATCAAATAAACTGGTTTGGAAGAATAATATGTAAATAAAAAGATATGATATTTTGTATATTTTTCAAAAGAGGACAATAATTTTGTAAACACGGAGTAATAGTTTTGGAGTATGTGTGAGGCTTTGTTTATAGTGAAATATGCACTAAATAGTAGTAAAATATATGTCATTTTTTGTAGTACTTGAATTTTTATTCCCTAAATATTACTTGAATAATGTCTAGTGGCGGGAACAATGTCCAGTGATGGTGGGCATTTAGTTTAAACAATGTCCAGACGCTGGACATTTACTTGAACAATGACCAATGAATATTGAACAGTGATACTACATTGGAAAATAAAAACATACACTACTACATTGAGAAAATCAATATATTTTAATACTAATTAGGTAAATTCCCCTTGTTTATGTGTGTGTGTGTGTGTGTGAAGATGCAGCCAAGAAGTATATAGAACACATCCAAGAAGCAATTAAACAATTAGAAATTGATAAAAGGAACACATGGAAGCAAACCAGTAGTGGCGATGAATAAGAGCATCACAAAGAAGAATGCAGCTGCATATGAGCGAAGTGAAGAAGGACCCATTTTTTTATTGTTATTTTTATTATTATTTTCGTTGAAAAGAAATGATAAGAAAACTTTAATTTTCCTCTTTGGTGATCTCCCCGAGCTCTTTGGGCCTTCCGCCTTGGCACGGGTTCTATATATACTACTCTATACATAAATAAATAAATACTCTTAATAATAATTTGATATAATAAAATATTTTTATCAACTCTTATTTTATAGAGTTTTTTTTGTACTTTTAAATGTTGTAGTTTATACATACACATATATATTAATATATACATATACATACATACATATATATATATATATATATATATATATATATATTGTAATACGTAGTACCTCGTATTAAGTTGGGAATGGGAAGAGCTCAAAAATGATTGATAGTACTACTGATATCAACAAGATGCATCTTCTTTTCAAGAGCTCATCAACTAGAAACTCCAAAGTTAAGCGTGCTTGACCTGGAGCAATTCTAGGATGGGTGACCCCTAGACACTTACGGCTAGGGTGGGGCCGGGGTGTTACAGTGTTTGACTAATGCTATTTTCAAATCATTTTTTCACAAAAAATGGTATGGAATTAAAAAACAAAAATTATATATTTAAAAAATTATATGAAAAAAACTACAAAACTAGAGGTGATATGATTATAATATTTTACTCCAACAAAGTTAATAAAATTCGACCCTGTAAATAGTGAATGAGAGCTTTATTGTTGGACCAAGGGAGTAAATTAATAGTAAAATAATATAGATAAAAATACAAAAATATTAGTTCCATATTTTTATTTCTAAAATAAGAGTTGCAATATCAATAACATCATCATATAATACTACGGAATAAAAAACAATATGGAGTAAAAATATATTACTCCTATTTTGTGATAAGGGCTCTCTTTTATTTCTGTTTTAGCTTATTCGTTTCCTTTAAGGGTCCGTTTGGTATACAGAAATTGATGGAATTGGAATTGAAATTCCATGGGATTCAATTCCATATGGAATTGAATTCACTAATTCCAATTCATTTTTTGCACTATCAATTCCAAATCCACATAATTTTTGTGCTATCAAACACCAGAATTGAAATTGAAGTCCTCAATTCCAATTTCATAGTTTGAATTCCGTGTACCAAACGGGGCCTAAACATTATCAAATTTTTTTATTGTGTCTCAACTTTGTATCCGTATGTGAATGGGGAATTAGGGTTATTGGACTAATAAGGTGGAGAGTCGAAAACGCATTCAATGACGTTTTTAGTTTTAGTTTTTCTTTCTTTTTTTAAAAAATTTCACAAGATGCAATTTTTTTTTTAAATTACTTTTACATGTCCCACACGCTACTTTAGGGATGTTTTTGTAGATAATTTACTTTTGAAACTAGCATTTGCTTTTTGAAATTAAGAGTTCACTAGACTTTGATTTTATACGAGTATATGTAACCAGTTTCTGCATTATGTTGGTTCCCATGCATATTCTCATATGATTTTTATTTTAAAAATGTTACTCCCTCCGTCCTAAAACTTTCTTCCCGTTGCGCAAAACGAAGAAAAATCCCAAGTTTTTTCAATCTATTTTATTTAAATATTGGTATAGAAATAAAAAATAAAACATACATATTTAAAAACTACATCAAAAGTTCAACAAAATAAGTGGTAACAAGAATATTTTATTTTATCATATAGACCATGAAAAAACACAAATAAATATAAATTCCCGTGAAGTTTGAATAGTGCTTTGAGAAGAAAGTTTTAAGGCGGAAGGAGTATTTCAATCCTTTGAAAATACCTATTTAACATATATGAAGGTTCACATGGCCGTTAGTTCTATGCAATAATTTGACTATAGAGGAATAATAGAGAGTGGCACTATCAAATATACAAATTTTATATTTTAATTCTATTTAATTTCCAAACAAATTGAGTTTAAAATATATAATTTCAATGAAATATCGTAAACAACATACAATATGTATTAAGACGAAGAGAGTAATTAATAAGAACAAGTTAAAGAAAACATACTCTAACTCAGACACTAAATTCATATTATACTTTTTTTTGAATTCATATTACACTTTTACATTAAAGCTAGTCAATTCGATTTTTTAATTAATTAATAAGTACATGTTTATAGGGTGTTCAAAATTATCATTTCTCGGGAATCCGTCCACATCCATATGGATTTTGTCATTTACTTATTTTTATAATATTATTGCATTAATTATTATTTTAATATAATTAGTTTACATATTTTAATTTGTTAGACCATTAGGAACAAGACTTTTAGTGCCTTTTTTCTGTCTCGGTCCAAATCGTTGAATTCTCAGGACCTGCCATTTAAATATACTCCGAGTTCTTAAATTAGTTGAAATTAGTTTAATGTTTTTGGAGGTCCATTCTGTCTATTTGATAGTTATAAAAAGTAAATGTTTTAGTACTTTGATAAACACTAAATTTTACGTTGATAATCACTAGACTCGAACCCGTGCGTTGCACGGCTTAAAAAAAGTTACAATAATTAGGGACTTTATTAATGTTGTAATTCGAAACGATTCAATTAAAATACGAATATAACAGGAAATATTAAAGGGGATGAAGTATACAATAATACAAATTGTGGAAGCATTACATTATACGTTTTGAAAAACTTCTTTGTAAACTACATTAGTAGTTTGATTCATCTTGCTTTGGTCATCATTGCATATCAAGATCTTTAGACCCCTGCGATTTGTGACACGTGAAAGCGCTACGTAAAGCTGACCGTGGCTGAATACCGGCTTCTTTAGTAAAAGGCCAACCTGAGACAACGATTGCCCTTGACTTTTATTAATTGTCATGGCATATGAAATCATAATTGGGAACTGTTTCCTTTGAAACTTAAAAGGAATTCTCGTATCTGACGGGGTAAGCAACAATCGGGGGATAACGACTTCTTGACCAATATTTTTCCCCGTCAGTAATAATGTGAAAGTAGAATAAGGTTAAGTTGATTAAGGATCAATGCTGTGTGTGTGTGTAGATTCAAAAAATTATTTATTTAGTAATTGACATTTCTGTACACTAATCTAATTAAATTAACCCTTAATTTTTTTTTAAAAAAAAGAGAATCTTCTATATACAGACCTTAATATCCAAAAAAAGTATTTATAGATATTAATTCTATATAAATTAATAATTTACCTTTTCTGTAATAAAAAAAATGTTTTATATCCAAGATATAATAATCTGATAAAGGGAGTATACATTAAAGTTTTCAAACAGCCATTGAACAAAAAAAACATGTTCAATAAACGATATTGAACATGATTAAAGTTCAATTGCACATTAACAATATTTTTATGCAGAATATCCAGATTAGAGAAAAAAACTCCAATGGTGGTGTGGTATAAGAAAGGTATTAAATGTACCTGTATATATATGTGTGTGTGTGTGTGTGTGTGTGTGTGTGTGTGTATATGTATGTATGTATGTATATGTATATATATATACGTATATAAATATATATGTATATATAGGTGGATTTATATTTATATACATTATATATACAAATATGTATATATTTATTCAATTTTATTATTAATATTAATTGTAGTTTATTACATCAGGAACACTATCTTACCTTTATCGGATTCGTTTTCTGAATCAAGCATGGGTGAGATTCTTTCTGTTTTGATAAGCTTCCTCATTCCACTTGACAGAGTGATCACAGGTATCTGTTTGGAACAACTAATTTTTATTATGACTAACAACACCGTAATCAAATTGGTAATTATCATAATCAATTTTTTTATGTTTACAAAAACATAACAGCGTTTTTTCTAATACTTTGTTTAATGTTTCCAAATAGTAAATTTATAGTTTAATTTTTTTAGCCGAAATGCCATAAAAAATAAATTTCCAAGAATTATTACTTTGACTCCAATGCAATTTCATGTTTTTTGAAAGCTAAGTGTTGGTTCGAAATTTGCACCAATAAATCAAATTTCTTGTATTGTATTTCTAAGCTAATATAAAAAATATTTCTAAAATAAGAAGAGGGTGAATTACTAACCTTAGAAAGGAAGGATTAATGGTAGTTATGAATGCTCAAGATGACCTTGAATGCTCATTTATTACTGCATAGAAATTTTTTTAATATATATATATATATATATATATATATATATATATATATATATATATATATATATATATGGGTAACCGTTTGGGCCATTAACTAATGATACATTGGGCCACACACCTAGATTTAGTGATAATTTATGTATATTGTAGGATTGTATGTTTCACGTTTTTTTTGTTAGATTTACTAAATCTTGACTCTTAGAGCCCCACACCATTTAAATGCTACATTAAATGCTACACTGTTAATATTTTCCAAAATATTAGGTTTTAGTATAATTAAATGATGTTTTAAAAAAAACGTTGTGTCATAGGCGTGTGGCTCAATGTGTAGCTCATTTATTATTGCATAGAACTTTTTTGGATACATTTTTATTTATTAGATTTTATGACTTATTATTTTATTTATTCTATGTTCATTGGAAATACATCTTGCTCGTTATTATTTTTTATTACATTTTCGACTACAATTTTAGAACAATTAAAATATATTTCAATTATTATGCCACTGAATATTTTCCAAATTATTTTGATCAAGTATAATAAAAGATGTTTTAGTCAATTAACTTAAAAATAAGTTAAATATATTTCTTTTATATTTCGTATTAAAAATACATTTATAATTTAAAATATACGTTATAAAAAAAAACGTATGTATACACTATAAATAATTATTCTCAATGTATTGTTTTTTCATATACTAAAAAAATGTACACGAAATGTTTTTTATTTATCATATATATATATATATATATATATATATATATATATATATATATATATATATATATATATATATATATATATATATATATATATATAGACACACACACACACACACGGAGTATATGGGTAACCGTTTGGACCATTAATGCTATATTGGGCCACACACCTAGATTTAGTGATCATTTAACCTCATTGAAAACTTCACGTTTTTTTTGTTAGATTTGCCAAATCTTCCTCATTAATGGACACCAAACATGCTTTCAATATTCAATGTATGTACACATTAAATCAAACACTGTTCACGAAGTAATCACAGCCGACATCTTAGAGCCACTCGCCATTTACTATTTTACGTACTTATGTAGTATATAGCAATTTCACGCTCTTATATGATAGATTTAATTTAATATGATTAAAATACGTATATATACGTTATAAGAAAATACATGCGCATACACTATAAATAATTTTTCTCGGTGTATTGTTTTTTCATAAACCACTATACAAATATTATACGATTTTTTTGCGGAATGCATGAAGGTAATTAGATTATTTTTGAAAAAAATAATTTGGATCGTTTCAATTAAAATACAGTAAGAAATAATACCTGACGCAATTCCTTAGGTATTCCCATAATTGATCACATTTATATTTCGCTATGCATTTGTGTACATGTTCTAATGTAAAATTTGTCTATGTGTATATTTTCTTATGATTATGTGTTTGTGTTGTTGTGTATTTGTGTACACATTTCATAGTGCAATTTCTTCAGCAATTGCTCAAGCAATCTGCTTCGGCATAAGTCATTTTGTATATGTATCTATACTGGCTTTTGTTTGAATGACAAAGATAGACATTATTTTCATAAAGAAGCTTAAGACTAAAAAAAATGTTGTTAGAAATATTACCAATCAGAAGTTGATCATTCAAACATGGTTGACTTTGAAGAATTGGAAATGACTTCAAGTCGAACATCATCCGGGGGAAATTATTTCGATTTAAAGTTTTCACTTCAATCCTTTTGAAAAAACCCAAGAGCTTATCATTGCTAGCAGTTTTCAATCTTTGATAATTGTCATGGACAAAAACATTTCGAATGGCATATATGCCACCTTCAATGATTTGCGTTTCAAACTTCTCTTTTTCCTCTCGAGCAAGATGTGCGTGAATCCTCGTTCCCTAAAAAAAGTATACAAAGTGAGATTATGAATTTTGGGTTGAAAAAAACACAAATGTAATTACTTGTAGAATATATTACATGCTCATCGTGAAAGACGATCTCCATGGAATCTCCACCTTTCGCCCATTTAGGAACGAAGTAAACCCGAATAGCCCTCAACATGAGAATCCAAGAATTCTTATCGCGGTTGATTTCCGCAATCGGAGCGAACATTGTCATGGACTTGTTTTCGGAATTTTGAGCCATATTTGGATATTTATGAAGCTTAATCCGTACGCTAATATAACTGGTTTGAATGGGAAGAGGTGTGGTTTTGGATGGGAAGAGGTGTATATATATAATTTGGGATAAGCAAGTAGGTTTAAGCACATTAAATGCTTGGATTTTGTAAATCTAAGCATTAAATGGATAAGATGTAAAGTTGCACACTTCCACATAAACTATTACTCCGTAATATATTGCTTTATGGAGCTCCACACCCCACCGTCAAACGCAACCCAAGAAACTGCTATGATGCCTGCCCAATCCAGCTCCACTGTCGGCCCAAATCCAGCAGCAAGCCCGGCCCAATAAATGGATATGAAATTAGCGGGAACACTATTTCTAAGAGCTTCTTACCATTGTATATAGGAGGACTAGTATCACACCCGTGCGTTGCACGGGTAATTTATATGTTATTAAATTCAAATCATTTTTCACTGATAAAAAATGAGATGCAATAAAATATAGAGATTATATTATTTTAAGATACAAAATATCACTACTTTGCAAATTTCGAAAGACTTCTTTATAGACTACATTATTTGAATATTAGAATCTTCAACCCACTACGATTAGTTACTTTTGAAACTGCAACATAGAGTTGTCTGTGACTAAAACATGTTGCATTATTGTTACGGAAATATGTGATAAACCCCAATTGCTCGTAGCTTCATCATTAACATTGATGACCGCTCATCAACATTTTTCAAGACAGTTAAGATACCTATTTTTCGTATGAATGATAGCTTTGAAACGTAGGAGAAAAAATTCACGATGGCCATTTTAACTTCACATTATCATATGTAATGGCCATTCTCTTTGGGCGGGAAAACGCAATATTGACTTCATGTCTTTTTAAATAAAGTATGGATATGGATAACTTACCTTTACCAAAAAAGAAACTCTATGGAGTGTACCAAAAAAGGTTAAAATAATGTAAGAAATTGTACAATTAGTACATTCCATACGAATTGATAAATACCGTGTGATAAAAAAAGAACGGTATTTATAGCTTTTAAACCCTTTTTTAGATTAATAATAATAATAATTTTTTAGATTAATAATATAACGTTTTTAAAGACATTGTGTGTTAAAAGTAATATAAATTTCACTTCACAATAATTAACTTACCTTTCCTCCATTTTAACCCAATTATTATGGTTAATACCGTGTAATATTAATTGTCATTTGTTAATGGAATAAAAATTATCATTTGTTAATACCGTGTAATATTAATTTCCATTTATAATATTATGGTTAATACCGTGTAATGTTAATTACCATTTGTTAATACCGTATAACATTAATTACCATTTGTATTAGTATGGTTAATACCATAATAATGGGATAAAAATTACCATTTTGATAGAACTGTGTAACATTCGTATGTAACATTAATTGCCATTTAATGATGGAATAAAAATTACTCCGTACCATTTTGATAGAACCGTGTAATATTAATAACCATGTTTGTTAATGGAATGAAAATTATCATTTTGTCATTACCATTTTAAGTAAACAATTACCATTTTTAATGCAATAACGCATGGGCGGGAAAACCATCTCTTGAATCCATGTCTTTTTAAATAAAGTATGGATTAGTTCATTAAATACTCGTATAAATAAAATCCTTCAATTTGTATCAAAGTAAAAAGAAACTTTCAATCCTAACACCTAAATGTACGGGATGCACCCTTAGTGTATAATAATATCGCAAAATAAGATTCACAGTTTGACTTGACATAAAGTTTAAAGAAAATAAAAATATGTGGTTGAAAGTAATGCAAAAGATATAGAAAATTTGCGACCTACTCAAACTTTTTTCATAAAAGGAAAAAAAAAATTTGGAATGTCCCAAAAAGAAAAATGAGTCTTTTTTTGGGGCTATAATATAAAACCAGAGTACTTACTAGAAAATCGAAGTTATCCTAGAAAATATTTTGCATAATGTTGTGAGGCCTTGTATTATTATCGAAAAGTTGAGTTACGGAGTAATTTTCAACGAGATAATATATCCGGATGGGCTTCGGCTAGAAAAGATATGATATAAATATACTTTATATACAAATGGACTTAATGAAAAAGATTTGGGCTTCAACGGACTAATAATAAAAATCATAGAACCCTCCTATAGTCAGTCCTCTGGAGTCTGGACACTGCAAATTTTACATTTTCCCATCTGAACAGAATTATTTTGGGTTTAATTCGGACCGAACTTGAAACCCAAAATTCTTTAATTCCCTAAATATTTTGGAACGGCCCGTTTCCGGTCCTCAAGACGGTATGAACCGGGTTTGAATGTCCAAGTGGAATGGGGGGAGGGGGGGGGGGGGGGG